CTCCTCAGCCAAAGGAATACGAAGCGCGGTGCACAGTGCTGCGGATTGAAGTTCGGAGCTCGCTTCCCTCGGCCATAGGACCTTGGCGCTTCCGCACCTTAGCAGGAGGCCGCGTCAGCTTTTTGGCTCTAACCAAGCCTGACCTGTCTTCAGGCACCCAGATCACTCTTGACCAACGCTGTCCCAGCACCTCCAAACACCTTTCTCATCAACTTTCGCACAAGCCATCTCCAAACCAACTCGATCGACTCACCGAGCCATCACTTCGAGATCTCTATCCATTGCGAGCAACAATGTCGACCTCATCGCAGTCGTCGACCTCAATGTCGCACTCAAACTCCCAGGGCAGCTGCCTCGATCCCCTAGATTCGTTGCTGGACTTGTCCGAGTACGATAAATTATCATATCAATCACCATCCATTTCTCCATCGGCGACGAAGAGCCAATTCGTGGGCAGAGCGGTATCAAACACACCAGCAACCCTCCCATCGAGTACGCAACAAGACCTCAGCGGTCCCAGTCACAACTATGGCTTGTACAAACAACAGACCGGCATTCCCCAAGGAGCCGTTGCCAGCACCCTGGCTGTCAACCAGATGAACCAATACGGATACGCGGATAGTTATCTCTCTGGCATCGGAGGAGACGACTTCGTCGACTTTGGCACTGCACCAGCAGCACGAAATGGATCCTTTAATGCGGATATGGATATGGAATTCGATTCGCCATTGGGTGAACCCGCCTTCTTCTATCCCGAACAATCATCGCCGGAGTTTGTCAATCCAAGCGCCATCGGTTCAAGCAGTCTCTCACCTACTGCTGTTCTCCCAACCCAAACCAGCAATGTCGGTCGTCTCTGGCCCGGTATGCATCAACAACAAGCTGCCCTTGCTAAGGCCCAGGCCCAACAGAAGCAACAGCAACAAATCATCCAGCAGCAACGAAACAATGCTATAAGTGGACATCAAAGACAACAATCTCAACAACGATCCAGGGGATCCCATCAACCCGCCGATCCTATTGTCGAGGAGAAGATCTCTCAACTGTTGAACTCGATGAGACAGAGCAGCGTCGCAACCGAGGATGGCGAGGGTACTCCAAATGCCAACCACCTATCACACGTTCAACGCATGCGAAAGGAGGAGGAAGATATGGATGAGGATGAGCGCCTACTCGCTAGCGAAGAAGGAAAGAAGCTCAGCAGCAAGGAGCGACGCCAACTACGGAACAAGGTTTCCGCTCGCGCCTTCCGTTCAAGACGAAAGGGTAAGAACAATCATCACACAACTCATCAACACGTGCTAACTCATCATAGAATACATCTCTCAACTTGAAGGTGAAATTGCCACCAAGGTGAACGAGAATAACGATCTCCGATCTCAGAACCGGGCTTTAATGGAAGAGAACACTCGTCTCTCAGACCTCACCCGGATGCTCCTCTCTTCACCGTCTTTCTCCGGCTTCCTCGATACACTTGCCTCAAACCCTCAAGCCGCACAAACAGCCCAAGCAGTGCAACAACCTCAGCCCCAACAACAGCAAATCGAGCAACCACAACGCCAACTCCGAAAAGACATCAACCCCTACGCAGCACAGCAACAAATGCAACAGCAGCAAATTGGCATGGCCATGATCCCCGAGCATAACATGGACTTCTCCATGCTGGACCTGAACGAAAACGGCGCCTTCTCCTATCAACCACAAGTCTTCTCCGTGCTCAGCCTGCCTGAAGCCGTGATTGATACCGAGATCCTATCCGGCAAGAGCTCCTCATTCACCCCTCTCGCTTCCGATGACGAGAAGGTTGAGCTGCCAAAGGTAGAGCGCATGCCCGTCTCCAAGCCCGAGGTCATCGAGCTCCCTACCGTCGTAGACGAGGAGTTTGACGCCGATCCTGCTTTCGCTCTGTTCGTCTCCACACCTACCACCGTCAAGTCAGAGCCCGAACTTGACCTTAGCTTCCTCGCCAACCTGTCTCTCAAGCCTTCGAACTTCGAACTGGTCGTTGTACCAGAGGTCGATGACGCGACGGCTGATGCGGCGATGCGACGCGTTGAGAGGTTATCAGCTGACATGGATGCGTGCTTAGAGAGACTCTCGCACCTCTCATGTCACCTATAATCCCCTCTTCGGTTAGGTTGTGTTGTCGTTCTTGCTGCGATTTAGCGTGGGCTCAGATGGTTTTTGGCGTTCTTGCACCCCCTGGAAGATTACACTTATGTATTTCTTTTGTCATCATAGGGCTGTCTGTATCATGGAACTGGGAAAGGAAGTTGGCATGCAATGATTTATGAATTTGGATGGGAGAGGGAGATATCAATGGGAGGAAAGAAAGGAATGGTTTTCGTCGCTCAGCACCTATATTATAGAATCACTTCACCCCAAGAATGAAAAAACATGACATAACAACACTTATACCTATGCTTCCCGTGACAATGCTTATCATCTTCTCTACTGTCCCGAGTACTTCTCACTTGAGTTCGGTCTCGACTTCGACCCACTCGGCAAGTGGACCGAAGTGGACTCACCTCCCTCTGGTGAAACTTTCACCACACACCTCACCCATGCCACCACCCCTCACCAACACCACACAACCATCCGTGTCCAAACAACCTCAACACGCTTCAGACTCATACCAAACCAAACGAGGCTGCTGCCAGCTCCACTAACCCAAAGTCCAGAAATAGGATCTTCACCTCGGCTGCTTGGCGTTGTCAGGCCTCGGACGAATTTATGATCACAGGATAACATGTTCATCGCATTGCAACATCGCAAGACCTCGGTTCTGAGAGTGGGATGGACTGCTTGCTATGAGTTAAGCCCAGCTTTGAGATGAACGAATGCTGCCATCGTTCTCAGCATAACAAGATACCAGTAGAGACCACGCTCCATGTAACTGTTCTAAATCATTGGAAGCTCAAAATATTACACCGCGCTGCCTTAACAGACGCTTGACCTTGAGTATTCGTTTCGAGATCTACCTCTGCTCGAGCTTTATGTACTGAGACAAAACAAAGCAAACCTGGCTTGGATCCATAAACGCTTATGGAGAAGTGATAAACTCAAGTGCATTGGACACACACGAGACCATTCCCCCAACTCGAACAGCTCTCGCAAAATATCCCATCACCCATACCGCACCACCCAAACCCCTCCGCAAAATTACTCCCAAAAGGTTTCACGCAGAGGGCTCTACGCACATTAAGCGGTACGAGCCGAACCCGAGCACGAAATGGCGATATTAAAAAGCAAACGCGGGCGGGAAACGAGAGTGCGAAGCCGAACCCGAGGCCCAATATCGCAAGCACACCGCACTTTCTGAGGAGATGAACGTGCGAACCCGAACCCGAATGCGTGCGATGTGCAACAGAAGTTCGGAATCTGTGGTTTTTGTGTTCTTGAATGGTTAATGTCGATTTTGAAGTGAGACGGTGAGGAGAGCAATTACCGAATCCGGACACCGGAATGGGTGATGAGCGCTGGGGCTGCCTTGAGGAGAGGTTATGGGGTCCGGGAGGTGTGGGAATGTTGATTAAGATGGCGGTTGGGATTGCGAAGTGCAACAAAAACCTGAGTGTGTGAGGTGTTTCTTGAAAGTCTGCCAAGGACAACTAAGGTATCGTACGAGCACTGCACGGAACCCATGAGGGAACGAAATGCAAATTTCAATGAAAGTTGTTTGGGTGGGAAGAGATGCTGAATGGAGCTGCGATGTGTAATAGAAGTTATCGACCAGGGGAAGAATGGGGACTAGAAGGTGTAGAAACAGTGAATGGGAATGCGATGTGCAACAGAACGGTGATTTAGAAGGTATGGCTGTGGAAATAGTGGCAGCGGTTGATGCAGGAGTGGATGCAGTGGATGCAGGAAAGGGCCCTTGAGAGAGCGGGAAGTGGGTACTTAGGGCTTGAGAACGCGAGCAGACGACGAATAGGATGCGATTTCGAGGGGTATAATAGATAGATAGAAGCATTGTGTGTGTGAGAGAACAATGGAGAGTGACTAAGTACGGGAACGAGGAGATGTGGCTTCGAGCTGCGAAGTGTTCATGTAGAAAGAGGTGGCTAAATTGGCGAGCTCAAATTGCGAAATGATCTGTTTTCAAATCAAAATGAATTTCAAGAATGAAGCACCACAATACCCAAACATGAGATGGGCAACATGAATTCATGGCTCAGTATAAAAATAGATGATTTGCGGAATTTGTTAGTTATGAATGGGTGATTTAAATAGGGCAAGAAAAGCGACTGCCCTTTCCTATGATTTGGACTCGAATTCAGGTAGCATTGAAGATATAACGGATAAAGCGCAACTCCGTAAGCATCGCAGAGTCGACTATCCGTAAGGCTTTGAGGGCGATATGGAGCAGGACGTTTTGACGATCGTATGAAGTGTCGAGTAGTCCTTGATCTGGCTACGACCAGGGCTCAGAACAGTAACCTTTGCAACCTCCATGATCCCAAGACCTTTCAAACCAGTGCCCACGACCCCATACGTACTCCCCTGTACGCCTCTACGATATGCAACAAACTCTTCTTTTTCAATAAGAAAAAGCAACTGCTCTCTACGTCCCACCTCGGCCCCACCACCTCGCTCACCCGCTCCTCCATTTCTCCTCCCCCTCTCAAGCGTACGGCACAGCGCCCCGAAGCGATGTGCAACAAAATCCCCATGTGTCTTCTCTTTCTTTTGCCATGATTTCTTTTCTCAGAAAAGTGAATCAAAAGCAAATCTAGTCTACCAATATCTAGCGAGGCTCCGAGACCTCGCCTCGTCTCGCTTAAAAAAGGGGGGCTTCCTTTTCCGTCAATACAATACCTTAACCCGCCTACTGCTCTGTCTTTATGAAATTAAAATAAGCTCTTTCCATTCTAATTCACTCAAAATAATATGGCGCGTCTGGTTAGTAGCACCTAAACTTCTACACTAAACTTATTACTAATGTGCCTTATAGTGGTGTTAGTAGCTCAACCCCTTCAAACTGATTCCTTAACTCACAGCCCTTTATAGTTAGTGGTAAAATCTGCCGTTGCCATTCAGGAATCGGCAGGCCCCGGGTTCGATTCCCGGCGGACGCAACACGTTAAGATCATTTCTTGGTGCTTTTAAGTTTTCATTTTCTTGCTTAACATTTCAAACCATGAATTCTTTGAGCATGAAATGGACTTTGAAGTGTCAGATGGAGCACGTATAGCTAGAGCGTCCCAGTTGGACCTAGTTTTACCTCTTTTTTATGTGCATATATATAGCCTCTGAGAGCTCTTTCTTACTCTTTAATCAATCAATCAATTTCATCAGAACGTTGTACATGGTGCTTCCAACATGAAGCAATCCTTTTAGGCGAGGACTGTGAGGCGTAGGTATACCTAATCCACGACAAAATCTGGCTGCAATTACGTTTCTCTTCCATCTCAAAGTGCACCACTACCATATAGATTCCGTAAGGAAATCCTTTCTTTGCGCATTAGAGCGAGTAGTAGGTAGGTAGGCTTTGCGACCTCGGCTCCGCGACCTCGGCTCCGCCTAGCTTCCGAAGAAAAGTTGTTTTGCTTGTCAGTGTGGTCGAAGACTCGTGACTTGATATTCAGCCACTGGGACTTGGTACCGATTCTTCAGCTTACTGGAAGCATATGCAAAATGACGCCACAAAACCCCGCATGCAGAAATGCTCTCTGGATTGATGCGGTGGGGGCGGTATGCTAAAAGCTTTGATCTACACCGAAATACACGAGCGGCCCCCATCCTATGGCCTCACTTAGCGAGCCGTTGGCCTCTCGGAGAGGAGATAAGCATACCTTGTTCTTTTCAACCAATAGACCAATCCACCACGCCCCCCATCCAATTGAAGAGCGGCCTGTACAAGAACAAACAAAATGAGCCTCCTTTGCATTTGAGATTACAGCGCCACGTTTGTTGGAGCGGCGCATGAAACTGCAATTTACAAGGATATGTTGGAGTTGGCAGCCTTATTAGGACAGGGTATAAATCCTGAAGGAACGCTCGAGTGCCCATAAACCGGCAGCCTCGGCGGGACATTCAGCGCACAGCGACTCGGTTGTTTATGATCGCGTCCAGCTTCTTCTGCCATAGATCTCAAAGTCAAACGGCCAACGTGAAGTCGAGACTTTGTCATTTCACGACTTCCGCGATGAATTGGTTTCTGCCATTCTTGGCGCTTCTTCACCTCACGGCTGGTAAGTCAACTTCTCCTAGATGTTGGAGCCTTGTTTACCTACCTCCATAAGAAGACTGACTTGCGGTCTTCCGCTTTTAGCCCAAACAGATACTCTCTGCACTCAAGCAACCGCCACTATCAATTCCCCAGCCGATGTGACGCAATTGTCAACCTGCGAGGTTATACAAGCCACAGTTGTTGTAGGATCGGAATTCACAGGCGATGCTTATTTCAACGGCCCGAAAACAATCACTGGCGATTTAATAATTGCAAATGTGACCGGATTGACCTACTTTATATCCATAAGCCTTACCGAAATCGGAGGAACCTTTCAACTCGACACCCTTCCTCTCCTCGAAAGCGCACACTTCGATGAACTTACTCGTGTGAGTTCTATTATATGGACAAATCTGCCAACACTGGATGAAATATCTTTAGACAGTCACCCAACCCCCATCAAGCTTACAATATCGAACACAAATCTTCCTCAGCTGCCTCTTTTTGGAAATGGTTCCATGTCAGAGGTGGATATTAACAACAACGCCAAACTGGATTGGGTGATCCTCAACGTGTCCAGCATTGCGGGCTCGTTGAGCTTCAGTGAAAACGGCAAATCGAACTTCTCATTTCCAAACCTGGTCTCGGCAGCGAATTTTACGGCAAGAGATTGCCCTCAAATTGACGTGCCATTGCTCTCTTTTGTTAATGGGTCGCTTGGTCTCTACGACAACTCGTTCTCCTCTTTCTCGGCACTGAAATTAACATCGGTGGGCAATTTTGCAACAGGAGAAGGAAGCTTGGCTATCGAATCTAACGCAGCTTTGAAAAATCTATCTATTCCACTTCTGAAATCTGTTGGCGGGACGTGTCAGATCGCACAGAACGACGTGCTTGCCACTATTGGCTTCCCGGCTCTTGTTGATGTTGGGGGTGCTTTAATCTTGGATGGCAACTTCTCGACGTAAGTGACTAGATCCATTTTACCTATCTTCTAACACTAACCCCATTCAAAACAGGCCAGACCTGCCTTCGCTTGGAAGTGTCAAGGGCGCCTTCGAACTCGAAAGCACCAATACTGCAGTAGACTGTTCCGGGTTCCAGAAAGAAGCTACATCTGGAGTCATCCAAGGAAGCTTCGCTTGCCAGAAAACAAAAAGTTCAACGACCGGCACCAATTCCGGCTCTAGCCCAACTAACGCCCCCACACCGAATAATCCTCCTGCCAGCTCTGGGCTTTCAACTGGCGCCAAGATTGGCATTGGAGTTGCGATTCCCTTGGTCGTTATTATTGTGGCGTTAGGTCTCTTCTTTGCGTGGAGGAAGGGATACAAGCTGCCGTTTCTACGAACTGCTAAACCCCTTGACCAGGGGCCCCAGCATCCAACCCAAGCAGAGCTACCACTCGGTGGCCATAATGAGAAGTCGGAGTTACCGGTTAAGGAGAAGCCTAGTGAACTAAGTGCTAGTGCATGGGGCCCAGTGCCTGAACCACATGAGCTGGACTCGACTCAGATACCTAGAGCCGACGGCTAGGAGTTGATATTATTTATATTTGCACTGTTAAATGAATATCATGTGGTCATGACGTTACTACCTTATTATAGACCAGCTGCTCACAGAGTCGAAATAAATCCTTGACTCTCCTAGCACTTCAGCTTATTTAAACAGATTCTAATGTAATTATTCATAATATAATAAGGACATGTCTAGTAAATTACACGAAGCTTCCTTCTCTCCTTGGTTAAGTATTATCTGTTTTAATTTAACTTATATTCTTTATATGTAATTTAAGAGAGCTAATTAATACACTAATCAGCCTCCGGCCGTAAGGAGTCCAAGCAAACGTGTGTAAGGGTTCATCCAGATTGGAATGCCTAACTTCGAGTTTTCAGAACTCGGAAAATGGAAGTGATATACTTGTTCAAATGACTGTTACACCATCAGGAAACTAGCCTGGAATAGCCCTGTGTTGCCTCTTAAAGGATGCATGTGGAAACCATGTTTGAAGTGATAAAGTAAAGCCTCACTCGAAGTTCATATCTCCCGGCCCCCTTTTTCTTTGGAAAATGAATTAATAGTAACTTAATAAGCAAAACAAATTGGGCCACATCTCTCCGTAAACACATAGTTATAGACAATTACCTTCTGCAACTCTCCATCTCAACGTAGAAACACAAGCGAGCTGCGAGTTCTCCGATCCACAACAGCGCTCACGAATCATCACGAATCATCTTCTGCCATGAACAACTACCTGTCTACGTAGTTATTGTATTTGCTCTTCGATGCCAAAGATGTCGAGCTGCACTTTCATTTTCAAAGCCATTTTTGAAGTCCCGAGCTGCATTTTAAGCTGGGCTCAGCATACTCGCTTCCATGAACAACCCATCTTCTCGATTGGGAACTAAGTTTCGAGCTGTCACTCTCTTGTAATATCGTAGAGCAGTAAAAAGATTCTGCAAGGAGATGTTCGGTTGTGTATGGAGAAAAGAGTGGGTAGAGCTTATGATAAGAAGAATCGCTGTGAGAGGCAGCCTGCTAAGCTAAGGCTAGAGAATGAGATACTCTCGGAGATTGCAGCTAAGAATCAAGATGTGTCGAGCCCCAAGCTTGTTTGATAGAAATACATTGTAGCACTTGCAGCAGGAGAAGGATAGGTACTGCTATACCTTGCGTGAACAAAAGGAGAAGAGAGCGGGAGAAAATTGATGGGATGTTGTACAGGTACTATTGGACGGAACATAAGCCGAACAGGGTATCACGATAAATTAGTCTACTCTACAATACATCCATCCCCTTCCGCTCGCCCATTATATACAAAACAAAACTAAATCCCCTTTCATCAATCATCATCCCCAAGGTAGTATCTTGCTCACCCAACTCTTCTCATGCTTCCACATGCCCGAGAAATAATGCTTGACCAAAATGTCCGGATTCTTGTGATCCTCTCCTTGGATCACGGCAAACGCTCTCTTCGGGAGCACAAGCACGTCTTTGATCCTGACTGCATTCTTCAGGTCGCGCAGTTTCTCGAGTTGCACCTCAGTGCAGTCGAGATGTGCGAGCACGGCGTCTGTCCAGACGCTCGGGCCGGTCCAGTTCATGACGTCTGCGTCTCCGTTCTTGTCTTGTTGTTGCTTCTTTAGAAACTCAGGTGTGCGGTCCGTGATCCGGGTCAGAGCATCGAGAAGCACGGGGTGCGAAGGAGCTGATGCTATTGTCCATTGGACAAATTGTGGGGAGCGGGGGAGACCTTTAGTCGTGCCGTCTCCTTCGAGCCCCACGATCAGGGACGGAGGCCCGTTATTCCCATCTTTCGATGGCCCCATAACTTTCCACGGCAAAGCCTTCATGAGGTGTACGTCCAGATCATTATACACCCCTCCTCTTGCAAACATAACCATATACCGACAAAAATCTGCCTTCAGCACGCCAGATGGAAACTGCTGGAATGCTTCCCAGTATCTAGCATTGAGCTCCTTCGCGAGCTCGGAACACGCATCCTCAGTCCAGTACTCGGTTTTCCAACCTGATTGCTGCCATGATATGCTGTGACTATTCGGCTTGAACTTGGGTATCGCGATCATGACATGATGTATCGCCTTCGGAATAAGGATTTCGAGGGGAGGTAATGATTCGGTTTGTTGGTCGGATGGAGGTAGCGGATCTCGGCGAACGTAGACGATTATTAGGAATAGGACATATGCTGGAACGGCGACCCGAAGTAGAGCAAGAGGCCGTATCATTATTTGGTATGGGAGCAGCGAAACCTGCTGGGTGACATTGGCAAACAATGAATATCAACCAAGAGCGGCTGTTTGTGAAATCCGTATGTGGTCTCAAGGATGCAGCAGAACCCCCTGAACCTCCTTACCCTGCGGTGCTTGAGCTGTCTCTCTTCCCAAC